CGGAGGAAAACTCCGTGTTGCCTAGACCACGGCCTTGCCCAGTAACGTTTAATAATTTGCATATTAACCCTGTGAACCACTTACTTTAACATTAATTTCTGTGGTTCTTATGATTCTCAGTAAACGGTGATTATTTTCGTAAACGGCATTCACCAGTTGATATTTGTAATAGAGACACTTTTTTTAAATTTGAGGTTTGAACTTAAAATAATATTAAGATATGCATCTCGCTTCGAATGATTAAGACGTTCAAACTACTCAGTCGATACCAGAGAACCAACAAATCAGCTGACAGCCAATAAGTCACTGAGAGATTTTACGATCTCACGGCGGTGAACCTGGGTTGTTGCGCCGTGTAGTCTGGTAGAAATTTACCGATGTTTCAAAGGTACTTACTGCCACCATCATCAGGGCAATCGCATTCACCGTGAAAACCAGAAATCTCACAAAGTTACTCTAGTTTGTGATTTAGTTATGTTCTTAATTTACTAGTAAGTCAGATTTGCAGGTAAGTAGTCAGCAAGACGCCACTGTGGTCTAGCGGTTAGAACGCTGGCCTTGTAATCCTGGGGTCTCGGATTCGATTCACGGCGGTGCCCGAATTTATAAGTTGTGTTGGGCAAGGCCGTGGTCTAGGCTACACGGAGTTTTCCTCCGTGGCATCCCAACAATTACTCCATTCACACACAGAAGAAGGCAATGGCAAACCACTTCTGGATCATCTGCCAAGAACGTATATGAACAGGTCCCAGTCCGAGAAAAGGATGGAAGGATCCTGTTCATATGGACCTGTCGTCAGACAGAACACTAAATAAATAAATAAATAGTCAGCAAGACTTTGAGGTAGATCAGTCAGTAAGTTAAGCCACTGTAGTTGGTATATTAATCATTTATTTAATTGATATAGGAACAAAATAAGTAAATGCATTAGTTACTTAGATGTTGTGCATAGACCGTGGTTTCTGTGATATCTCGACTGAATTTGTTTCACGAGACTAAAATATAAGAACTACTGGGTAGGTTGTACTTGAGTTATGAGACGCCCGAAGTAGTTTTCTTTGCAGAGGGGATCGTGTGAGAGCCTGATGTCTCCGGGAGATCGGATGGCGGGGAGCGTACCAGGCCTGCTAGACTCCCTGTCCTGTGGATCGACGGCGGACATCACCTCCGGAGAACGGGAGCCCAACATCCCTCAGATCGTGCAATCTTGTTTCCGTCACCTCGAGAACTTCGGTCTCCGAACCCTGGGCATTTTCAGAGTCAGCAGTTCCAAGAAACGGATCAGACAGGTAAGCGTTGAGTTCCATCGAGCATCAACATTTAAATTTTATACTTGACAGTCTTATACGAGGTGCGATCGGAAAGTTTCAAGACTGCGCGTATAAAAACCCGTACACTTATCTCAGGTATTAAATTCATCCATCACCCTCGAAGTAGTTCCCCTGGGAGTGAACACAACGATCCCAGCGCCGCTGCCAAGCCTGGAAGCATCCCTGGAAATCTTTCTTTGTCAGCCTGTCAAGCACCATCTGCGATTCTGCCTGAATCTCTTCTATCGTCTCAAATCTCATTCCCTTTAGCTGAATTTTCATCTTTGGGAAGAGGAAGAAGTCACACGGAGCTTTAGCATTTCATAGGTTTCCGTAGCCGTTTTGGCGAGTCTTTGGCAAAATTTGATGCACACGCCATTCCGAAATCGCAGGAGGGTCGGTGTAATGCACTACCAAAACGCCCGTAACTAAGAAACAAATGCTAATTCGATGATGCCGGCTGGCACACTGATTCACTATGAATGTAGGTCGCACCCCCTAGCGGCAGAAGCTCGTACTACATCCGGTTCGCCCTCTATTGACACAGTCTTGAAACTTTCCGATCGCACCTCGTAGCTCTGCCAGGTTTTAACCTCGGAAGCCCGGGTTGAATTCCAGGACGAACTACGTCAGCGATGTGTTGAACAAAGTGGCGCCGGGTCACGTTTTATCTGGTTCTACGCTGTTTCTATGCCAACCACCGCGTAATACTCCCCAGACTTCATTCTTGTTATCAGTTGCTAATGTAAAACTCTCGTATGAGGCCACCTAATTAATTCTGTAGTAATAACACTAAAAATCTAATAATTATATTTATAAAGCCAACCAGTACGCATGATCGGAGTCACGTAATATAGTTCAAACCCTCACAGGCTTAAAAACAGATTTGGTTTTCCATGTCGTCAATTTCCAAAATGTTGTCAACAAAATCCCCTACATGAATCTGATTCCCTTACCCGACCCGTCACGTGACTGCCATGTGCCCTCAGGTAAGTCTCCATTCCAAAATTTGTTCCTCTAAAACCCAGTTATTTACTGGAGTCTTTGTTGTAATTTCAGTTTTACCCTCAGTGTAAAAACCTCTCTTGACAAACATCCAAAACAACTGCTAAATAAGTAGGAGTTGAGGTTTTCACGGTGGTGAGTACGAAGATGGCTGTCTTCTGGGCTGTAGCGATTATATCATCGCCCTGATTATGGAGGCAGCAGAGACCTCCGAAACGTTAATAAACTTCTACCAGACTACACGGCGCAACAACCCAGAAGACAGAAATCTTCATCGCCCTGATGATGGACGCAGCAGAGACCTCCGAAACGTTGGTTAACATCGACCAGACTACACGGCGCAACAACCCAGAAGACAGAAATCTTCATACTCATCGCCCTGATGATGGAGGCAGCATGACCTCTGAAACGTTGGTTAACATCGACCAGACTACACAGCGCAACAACCCAGAAGACAGAAATCTTCATACTCATCGCCCTGATGATGGAGGCAGTATGACCTCTGAAACGTTGGTTAACATCGACCAGACTACACAGCGCAACAACCCAGAAGACAGAAATCTTCATACTCATCGCCCTGATGATGGAGGCATCAGAGACCTCCGAAACGTTGATAAACTTCTACCAGACTACACGGCTCAACCCATAAGACAGAAATCTTCCAACTCTTGTCTTGACCTCTGTATCCGGTGTGTTTTTGATGCAACTCTATCGATAGTCTGACTTTGTCAGTCCGAAGAAGCTCAGGGCGATTTCTTCGGATTGCAAACTGACGGCGAAGTTGTGAGCTCCTCACTTCAGGCTTAAACGTTCCAGATTATTTCTTTGGTGTAGCCCCTCACTCCCCCCCCCCAGGGCCCCATCCTGACGTTTCTCCGCGGGCATGTTGTTTGTTCAGGTACACGATTTACATCGTAATTACTGCCCATGACGCCAGTGCGCGTTGCTGAGCACATGGAATGACGCAAACTACGCGGTACGAAATCTGGTCATAAACTACTCCCCCCTCCACGTCACTACCTGCTTAAGGAGGTCGGGGTGTGTGGTATGGAGGGCATGGAGGGATATAAGAAATGCATAAAAGGCTTAGTCGGAAGATCCAGAAGTCAATGGACCACTTGGAAGACGTAGAATATTCCTAATACACGCATACCTCGTTTTATTGCGTTTTTTTTACAAATTCAAGGTTTGTGGCAACCCTTCGTCGAGCAAGTCTATCAGCGCCATTTTTCCAACAGCACGTGCTCACTTCGCGTCTCTGCGTCACATTTTGGTAATTCTCGCATTGTTTTTTTAGACATAATGCTATTGCACACTTAAAATACTACTTTTATATGCAGTGTGACTCGCTTTATTGCGGCGGTCTTGAACCGAACCCGCAATATATCCGAGGTATGTATGTTTTAGTCCATCTTGAAGGAGTATGGTCCAGTGGTGAGTCCTTGTGAACATGGTAATACACCGTCGGATTCCATAGAATATAAGAACATTCTTGGCAAGCTGAGCGACTATCAGATTCTCATAAGTTGTGAAGTCGTGTAGACTCGTAGATGGATACTGTCTCCATCTTTAGCCCCGAAGATGGAGACGGTGTGTTTCTCCTGAATCATTGGTTTCTTGGTAGTCGTCTGCACGGCGTCACAACCCAGAAGACCAGCGTCGATTTGTAAAAAGTTTTGAAATATACGAGGGTCGCTCATTAAGTAATGCCCCACATTTTTTTTCTCAGCCAATAATGAAGATAGAAAAGTGCACTTTTACATGCTTGAGATTTGATGTTTCCCGCGTTCGTGTACGGAGTTTCAAATGATTCCAACCGATAGCGGAGCTGTAGTGAACTGTTAAAATGGCGTCTGTGAACGACTCTCGTTACAAACAACGAGCTGTAATTGAATTCTTTGTTGCTGAAAAAGAAACGGTGGTGAACATTCATAAACGTTGGTGTGCTGTGTATGGAAGCTGTGCAGTCGATAGGAGCACCGTTGGTCGCTGGGCTAAGAGAGTTAAAGCTTCAGGAAGTG